CCCGGGGGCGGGACCTGCCGCTCCCGTTCCCTGGATCTCTGCGGGTGTTTGAGCTGGCGATTCTTTGTCGATTGGGGGGCGACGGGGAGCTCTAGTAATTAAACGCTCGCTAACTCAAAAGGGGTGGCAGATGTTTTGGTGTCGTTTTAGCGAGCAGACTCGTAAGCCCCCGTCGGTGACGGGCTGGGCAGGCCGGGGCGTCTCACGGGTTGATGAAAATCGCGGCTTTTTCCCCGTGTCCCGGGTGTTTGCCCTTGCGGAACCAGATCGGCTACCCGCCGGCGTACGGGCAGTGGGGCCAGTGGTACGGCAACGCCCAGATCGGTCAGTACGTGCCCAACGGCTGGCAGGTCCCCGCCTACGGGATGTACGGGCAAGCGTGGAATCAGCAGGGCTTTAAGTGAGTATTTGGGCTTCTTCTGCCGGTTTTCCCCCGCGGGAGGTGACAATCCGTGTCGGCCGCAGCGTAAAAGCAGCCGAAACGTTCTGGTCCTTCGTTAGTCGGAGATGTGGGATGGGGAATGTGCGTACGGATCCCAGACGGCCCCGCTCGGGGAGCCACCCGCTCGTTAAGTTCTCCCTCGTTACCTCGTTGCCTAACGAACTGTTTTTCCCCCCACCCCGACAGTCAGACGCAGTCTTCGGCGGCGTGGATGGGCGCCAACTACGGCGTGCAGCCGCCGCAGGGGCAGAACGGGAGCGTGATAACCAACCAAACGGGATACCGCGTGGCGGGCTTCGAAACGCCGTGAGGAGGAGAGGACTCTGGAACCGGGGGGCCGGGGGCGGCCGGCCGGGGGGGCCCGATCACTTGTATGTAATATTCTTACCTTTCTTCATGGAAATTTATTTTAAACTGTAGAAGTTTTATTTCAAGTTCACTTATTTCAGTAGTAATTAAGAGATGCGGGAGTTAAATATTTTAAAAAAAAAAAACAAACAAAAGACAAACAAACAAAAAAAACCAAACAAAAAACAAAACAAAAATCACACAAAACGAGATGCTGGATGTCTGCCAACTTTTGCCTTCTTTTTCCTCCTTTACGTGTTTCTTAAGATCCTCGTTTTTGAAACACAGCAAATGCAGGGACTACTGCCGCTGAAAATTGGGGCAGCAAATTGCACAACGTCAACCTTTTTTTTTTTGGGTTTCTTTTCTTTTCCTCGGAAGTAGCGTGCTGTTCTAGTTTGCATTCCGAACGATTTAAAATGTATTATAAACCGTTGTACAAAAAAAAAAAAAAAAAAAACCCACAACAAAAAAACCACCAA